GATAATGTCACTTTAATGAGTAAAAAAAGTTCTGTTCTTGAAAGGAAATTTCAAGAATACTTGAAGATGCTGCATTCTGCTAATTTAAGCAACTTCACTCTGGAAACAAAGTGTAATTATCTATAAGTGAGCTCCTCATTTACTCTCCATCAATGTTTAGAGAAGAAAGAGAATGTTTTCAATCTTTTCAACTCTGTAGCCAAGCTGACAAAGTGTCTTAGTTCTGTTGAGCAAAAAGGTTTCTTTAACTCACTCATACTCTTACTTTAACTGTGATTATGAGTATCCTTTGCCTGGAGTCGTGCATTTGGGTCCTTTTGTTCTGATCGTGATATTACCGAAAACTGTATGGATTCCAGCATATTCAAAATGCTGCAGAAATTATGTAGATGAGAAAAATTAATACTATTTCTACATATTAAAGCTTTCATTCACTTAATATAAAATGATCCCTTAAAGAATGTGGTTACTGGAGTTTCTGGAGTAGGAAAACAGGGTCTTCAGTTGCCAGATGTTTGACAGACACCCATTCAAAATTAGACCTGAAACGTTTATTTATTTATTTTTATTATTATTTTTTTAATGGTACAACCCTGGAACATTCTTTCAGAAACCCCATGTTTGACTTGTGTATGTATTTGATGTTTATTTGCTGTTTTATTTATAGCTGAATAGTTCAGGAGAGAAATCTTGTTTTACTGAATTGGTATGGTATAATACACATCTTTAAATAATTTAGCTAGTTTGATTTGAATTGGTTTAGAATCTGCAGATTACAAATGCCATTAATGAAATTTGATTTTTTTTCAATTAATTAAATTTTTTACGTGTTCCATAATAAACATATTTCAGTTGGGGAAATTTCTATCTTATTGTTGATTCTTTTCAGTGGGTTTCATTTGCTGAAGATGGACGAAATAAGAATGTGTATTTATTCATACTTTGGTGAAAGTATTTGGACAAGCTGGGCTTTGGGCCTATATTCTTTATCTTAGATGTAATTTGCTATGAATGATTATTTGGTCTATATTTCTCTAATGATGAAGGCAGAGGGTTTTTCAGCTCCGGTCGAGTTAGTGCTTGCCTAAATGCAGATTCAGCTTTACAATATTGATGGTTTCTCAACTCAAGATACATTAGAGCAAGCCTCATCTAAAAATGGCATCACTGGCTGAGATTTCCTCTGACTGTTACACATCAAAGCTTCCTCCTGCATTAAACAGTAAATGAGACACATGGCTGTTGGATGATGGGCAGGTACATTTTGGTTCTCACCTTTAGGAGTTTTCTCTTTTTCAGAAGCTGCCGCAGTATTTGCCCATTTTTTTTAAAACATTTACTTTACATTGCTCAAGCTCTTGTTCTCACATCTAAACTTGCCTTTGTCCATTTACTGTTGATACAGTATTATCCCCTAAAAACACATTCTCAAAGCTTATATGTAAAAGATTAACTTAGACTCAACATTGACATTTGAGTATTTACCATACCCATAGAGTATGTATTACATATTGTACACATTTGTGCATATACATGGATTATAGTGGGAGCAGTTTATTTCAGCATAACAAAGTAGCCTTAACTGATCAAGCAACACACTGACTTTATTACTGGTTAACAAAAATGGAATTGACTAGGTTCTCGTATGTTTTTAGACTATATTTATGCTTTGCTCATGGAAGAAATCCTCACAAACAAACCAAACACTTATTCTATGCTTTACATGCAGCATGGTAGGGCAGTTATACAGAGTTACATCATCTCAAAAGTCAACTTCACACCAAACTGTCAGACAAGCATCTAATCATGGTGGCTTCTAGTTTGATGTTTTCAGACTGCACAGTGATTGTGTACAACTGTGCTTTTTTCTGGATGTTCATATGCGTGCCGCTCTCCATACTGCATCTTTCTTTTAGTTTGCTGATTAACCCCTTTAATGCCATGAGTATCATTTTTGACAAATACAGTATCTGAACTCTTTTGCATCTGCGACCTTAAGCAAAACTTTGCTCCCTCATTTGCTCCCCTATTGTACACAATACCTGATAACAGTGGGTAGAAGGCTTTACGACGACAATTTTGACTTAACACATGGTAATAAATTATGAATATTCAAAACTAATTTAGTTTTTTTCATCTTTTGGAAAAAGGCCAAAAAAAGGACAAAAAAAATGGATCAGGCTTTAAAGGTTTAAGTATTAAACACAAAGAGTACACAGTTCCCTCAACTGGAAAAATGTCAAATGTAACATGTGTTGCTAATGCAAAACCTGCTTTACACCAAATTTTAACACATAATGTTGATGGTTCCCTGAGCCTATGGTTGGGGTTAGATATCCACAGGATTGATATCTTTCCCACTCTTCTCAATTTTCATGCTATCTATGTTGGGATCGGTTGTTAAATGGTCAATGGATCATACTTATTAAAAGCTTTTTTAGTTTAACCTACCTCTCAAAGATTTTTTATCTCATATCCCCACGGAATATATATTTTAAATTTCTCTTTCATGATCTTATTTTTGTTACAAATAAATTATTTCCATTTCCATTCCAATTCCCTGCGGTCCGTAAACACTTTCACTTATCTATTGTTATATAGATATTCTGATTTTTTTTTATTCTGATTTTTACTTTACTTTGTTATTTTTCAACCTGAAGTCTTGCACTGACACACTATTATTTTTTTAATCTGAGAAGAAGCAGGCTAAACATGGTCAAATGGGTCAAAATGAAAAGGGAAAAAAACTAATTTAATAGGAAATATCTTTGTCTATACCCACATACATGCACAAGTCTTACTCAATGCCTTTTTGCTCGGTTTCATATTAATTTACCTATATATATATATATATATATATATATATATATATAAATATAGATACACATATAGAACCACAAAGTAACTTGTCCCACACTAGTATATACAACACCAATGGTATAATCTGTGCAAAAAAAATCTGGGATCTGAGATGACTGTTTCACAAAGTTGGCTAGAATCATAATATTCTATTTGTATCCTCCCGAGTGCAACAAGCTTATCTGTTTTGTTTACTACAGTGGTCTTCCTTTCCAACCTCCAAAGAAATTTGTATTTACATCATCAGCTTTTGGGGACTAGATTTATCGGCTTATGTCGAAATCTGAAAAGTTGAATTATCTGTTGGTCTAATTTCATTATAAAAGTTGGCATTGGACTGTATCGTGGAACAGCTCTGAGATTACATTTTTGTTCTCTGGGGTTAAATTAATAAAAACAAATTGAAGTGGATAGTTGGCTGGTTAAATGTCTTCATGGTGACTTGACATCATTTGAAAAAAGCCTAGTAAAAAAATAAATATATATAAATGATTGTTGAGAAATTATGAGTTGCTCATTATTCATATTGAATAGTATTACAGATAACAAGTATAGGATTGTGTCTAATTTTCAATATTTACTAATACAAATTTGGTCAATTTATCTGAAGAGAAACATCCCAGAGATCTATGGAAGCCACATTGAAATCTTATTTTGTTGCAACAACAGTTGATTTTTTTTTCTGTGAGGCAATTTAGAAAACATTGAATGTGTTTTTTATTAACCTCTCACTGCTGCTTTATTTGATAAGTAATTATAAAGATCTTATGGATGTTGAGAGGCAAAACAAATATAAAAGATTGAGAGACTGGCAAGATCAGACAGCAAAGGTCCTGTATGTTAATATACTATTTTTATCTTCACATTATCTTCAAATAATCAAAGAAACATCCAGATAATCTACTAAGGACTTAGGATCCACACTAAGGATCCATAACCATAATCCATCATTTTATGGTTATGATGTTTGCAGAGCCCAGCAATAATGCAAATGCTTGGGGTTGTTAAAAAAAAAAAAAACTTTTTTTTATTATTTGTTTTTACATGAAATCTAATTGGATTGTTCAGTCCTCTCTTTTAGATGTTACAGTGCCCATGTTTGACTTAAAGTAATATGAGAATGTCTCATTTATAGCATAAAGTAAGACTTGGCAAGCTCAGAAAAGCCATGTACAATCCATTTCAGAAAGTGGCGTCCTTTAAATCTGAACAAAATACTTTTTTCAAAGAGTAGAAAAGAGTGCTGCATTGGCGATTAACTAAATTTAAATGTCTAACCACTCACACCTATAAACAGTGTTGAAATCTTGTCATTTCTTTTCTTTTTTATGAAAACTGAAATTATGTAATTAGAACTGACCAAGATTAAAGTAATTTCTACCCAGTTGTTTATGTAAGTCCTATGCATTATTTTTGCAGTACCTGTATTTCTTGTTTATTGTTACAAATCCTAAAATAGCCTTGTTTTGGACATTTCCATTTTTCCGAAACAAGTCTTGAGAGAATTAAGAAACACACAACCACCATCAAAATCCAGAAAACATCCATCCATCCATTATCAATACCGCTTATTCCCTCATATCCAGAAAACATCCCAAAGACATATCGTGAGCTTATATTTCACAATGGTGATTTAATACGCTGAACAATAAAATAATATTTTATGACCAAGTTATGTTCTTAGTAAGTAAAAAGAAAGAGCTGCGAAAGCAATCTTTTTTAAATAAAGAACGCTAACTGCAATGTCGTTTACAGGAATGCATTAAGCAATGTATGCATCAACAAAAAAAACATGTACTCAGCAGGAATAAACAACACTAAAACTCTTGTTCATGTCTACACCTGAGAAGCAAATCTTAATCTCATTTATACATAGAATATGTACCATGTTTACTTAAACAACATTAAATTCACACCATATCTAATTAATCTTTCATTTTCCATATCTACTTCATCCTATGACTGGTTTCTTTTTTTTTCTTTTTTATTAATTTTTTTCTTTTTTCTTTTTTTATATGACTGGTTTCTGAAGAGTTGAAGAGTAGACCCATGACAAACCATCCTTCCATTCTAAAATCACAGTGTCATGGTACATCATTCATGTTCTCACTCGCCAAACAATTTTTTGCAATCATGCAAATTCACGTACCTAAGATGGCGATTACTTCGTCATCTTGGATGACTTCCAGGGACCCGGACACTACAAAGCAGAGGGTGTCCACACTTTCACCTGAGTGAAAGATCAGGTCTCCTGGGGCACAGTGGATGGTTTGGAACTCCACGGCCAGGGAGCGCAGGCAGCCATCGCTGGCTAACCTGAAAGCCGGATGCTCGTTGAAAACCTTCGTTTGGAGAAATCAGATCAGACAGGTAGAAATCAATCTACAAGGCAAGAGTGTTGAATCAAGGGTCTTATTTATAAAAGCGTGCCAACGCACAGCAATACACAAATTTTCCTTTATAACTCACAGATGCTCCTCAACGATTGCTCTACACGGCCACACTAAACCATAAATGGTCACTGAAAAGCAATTCATAAATGTAGGGGTATGGCTTTAAATTCTGTGAAATAATCCATAGGTTTGGGATATCGAAACCATCATGGATGGTTTTGTTGATATGATCAGACATTTGATTAAAAAAAAAGAAAACATTATCTTAGATTATAGCACGGTGCTATAGTCTAATATGCCTAACCTCCAATATAAGTAACCTCCAATGATAGAATGACCACTATTGCTCATGCACCCCACTTCACTCCCCATGAATGCAGATATCAATATTGGGATCACTAATTTAGTGATTTCTGTTTGATTTCTTTACCTTTTTACTAGTGATGTCATACAGAATTGTTCAATTTTAAAGAAAATTTGATTTAGGAGGAGTAAACTTAAGTTGAATTAGAATAAGATAAAATGAAGAAGATGTAGTGGATTGAACTATACCACTGTTCATTTAAGTGTTTACACTTACACAAATCCAATCGGTTTTGGATTTGTGCTGTATAAAACATTTTAATTGAAATTATGATTTATAGACTATGCAAAATATAAAGATACACTGATATGAATCTTAAACATATTTTAAACAACAAAGATGTAATATATAAAGACCTGATACTCTCACTTAGCTTCATGTTTTTCTCATAGAATTGACCTTATATGCAACTCCACATTCTCAATTGTGAAAGTGATTTTCATAAAATGGAGACACAATATCTATAGCGTTATCCTGCCCAAAATAAATGTATAGCTACCTTTCTGTTAAGGTGGACACAGATGTCAGCCCGCATATCCTTGGGACAAATGGATAAGACCTAAAACAGTTAAACGGTAAAACATTAAAGTTTCCAACAAATCCTGCTCCCTGAAGCATAAAACAATCGATATATTCCTTAAAAAACCACGTAAGATTCACTGCATCAGAAGATATGCAATGGTGAGAAACGGCTTTCCAACAAGAGAGTTTGGTTTTTACAATCACCCATACTTGGTTAATTGTTGAGTTATGTGTTTTTTGCTTTATTTTCTAGGCTCTCAGGCTTTGTTTCAAGGTTCTGTTTCCCTGTGCCTTGGTTTCTAGTGTTTTATTTTGGTAAAGTGCTTCTTTTCCTGTTTTCTTCTCCAATGTCTCCCCCAATTTCACTTTCCACAGTTCCTTCCTGAGTTGTAATGATTTCTACTCTCTTCCCCCGTGCTCCCTGTATTACCTCCTCTTCATTCAGTAATCAGTGTTCTTACATAAACCTATCCATTTGTTTCATGCCTTGCCAGATCCTAGCCATATGTCACGGTATGTCATGTTTTCTTATGTTCTTTTCTTATTTTCACCCTTTCTCCCTGCATTCTAAGGTTTTCTTGTTTTTTGTTCATCTTGGTTTTAGCTTGGTTTTGTTCTTTGACTTATTTAGATTTAACTGAATTGTAATTCTTTCTTTCTAGTTAAAGACTAAATAAAGATCATAGCATGTTGATGGCTGATAATCTTCCAAAATGTATCTAACTCTGTTTTATATCTGCAACCATGTTACCTCATCACACTTGACCTGATTAGTAGTTTATGATATTAGTTTCAAACCCTTAAATATTGGGAGGAAAATAAAACAATTAAAAAAAACAATGGACTCTTAGTCTTACCTTTTCTGTATCAATGCCCTTTGACATGGACCAGGTGGACACAATGTAGTCCATGACCCGCTCGCTCAGGCCTTTGGGAACCTGGTAAAGCTTCAGGAAGTCCCTGACATTGTTGAGCATCTCATGGTAGCGGTTGGTGTTGGCATACATTTGCTGGAAGATGGTGGTCACGTTTCCGAAAATGGTGGCATAAAGAAGAGCTGCACCAAACAACACACAAAAAAAAACAAATATGAGAACAACATCATAAGTCAAACAATACTGTGTAGATTTCATATGTGGGGACGTGGGTAAGAGGATGGAGGAATAATTAAAAATAAACAACGCCATCTGAGGAATAAAAATCCTAGGATATACTAGTGAATGTGTGTAGATAAGTACTAAAAAATGGCGTGACGTGTCTTAGATGTGTTTTAGCAAATGAATGTTTTAGCAAATGAATAAAAAACAAAAACTGTATTAAAACATTTAAAGATAAACACCACAAAACAATTGGACCACAGTGCCAGAAAGCCTAAGACCATTTAACCAGGGATATAACCAAATGTAAATCACTGTGGAAAACACAGCAAACTTCACATTAAGCTTAACATACCAAATGCCAAGTGTATTGTATGGGTCTAAACCATTTACGAACAATGCATGAGAATATAACAGTCAAGTAAAAGTTAATGAACCCAATAAAAAGCTGTTGGGCTAACTTAACAGGAAAACCTGAAATAAACAAGTGAACCTCAGTTAGCCAGATCGATCAACACTGATAAATAATGGCTGATAACCAATCAAGCTTCCCCTAATGTTTCAGGAACTTGGAAGTAAAAAACCCCATAAGGAGACAAAAGGAAATTCAACCACTCCTCAGATACGACACAACATAGGAGACTTTTTGCATCATTCAATGGTAAAAGCTTTGCTCAAACCCCTGTTGTACACATTCAGATAACAGCCAGTAGAAGACTGCACCAAAATATATCTTTGACTTATTGCACGCTAATTTGATCAAAATAATTTCAGTTTTTTTTCTTCATATGTTGTTGAGGGGCCAAAGAAAGACTTCAGACTAAAAAAATCCAATATTCTTCCTATTTTTCTTGGACCAGGCTTTAAAGGGACAAACAGCACGATTATTTTGTTAATTTTTATTTGAAAATAAATATTCACTGCTCCTGTAAATACAGGAGATTAGCCATCATATACAGTATGTTCAAAGTTTAATATAAAATATACAAACTGAACTGGAGAAATAGCAAAAATCACTACCTTTGTCAGTGGCACCTTGAGAACAACAAAACATTTCTAGATTCTCACAGAATATATAACAACCTTAACGCAGCAGATAAAATCTGGGTTGGTAGGAGGTGAAGTGATCTCATGATGGAAGAAAAGCTTGAAAATAAAAGCTGTATGGCCAGCATAATAATTGTGCTTTATAAGAAATTAGTATGCTAGTAGGGGGGAATGTTAAAGAAAATTTGACAGTGCCTTTTGATTACTGTTTAAACATATGTATGCTATGTAAGAAGGGGGGTAAAAGAAAGAAAAAGGTAAAAACCAATCAAACAAGAACCAATATCAACAAGCAATAGCGAGTGTGTCTGTTATTGCTCAGTGGATGTGTGCCTCATACGTGTGATAGGAGACACAAACAGAAAATAAAGAATTCACAACTGTTGCAGACATATAAGAGGAGCTTTTAAAAAGTAACAAAAACAACTGCAGCCTAACCTATTCAAAATCAGCTGCCTTCCAGGGCCCTAAAAGACCTTTGCAGGACCCTGTCAGCTGGAGAGGAAGGATTCTGACAATACTACCGAGGTGGAACTGAAGGCACAAGGATACGGTTCATACCCCCACCAAACACAATACCCCCTAATTGGGTGACTCAAAAGCTCCACGGGTAACTATTGTCACATAAGCCAAAAGTATAGTTGAGGTTGGGTGTTCCGGTGGTAAGATATGAAAAAAATCCAATCCTCGTATTGTAGGTTATTTTAACTATGTAAGAACTTTTACCTGCGGTTTTCAGAGGTACTTTCCTTCCAAGTATACAGATATTAAGACCACTCACTTTCAACTGACAACAACTAACGAGGACAGAATGAAGAAAAGTACTGATACAGGGCTGTGTTTTATTTCAAAACTATTCCTGAGTGTGAGCTGGATAACAAGAATCAATCTCGTAAACAATACAACACTGAATTTTCTTATTGTAGGTGTTTCCAGTTTGAAATATAATCTAAATCAGGTGACTTGATTTGTCCACATTTCTAAGAAATACGAAATGTAAATGTCATTGGGTTGTTTTAATGAAATAGTACTTTTAAAATGTGATATACACTTCTGTATAATTTATTATGAAGTGAAAACGGTATACGTATACGGTATACGTATAATATCCTGGATAATCTGTCAATAAATGGAGTCAGGCTACAATCTAAAGATGACTCTGTGTGATTATATTTAATGCCAAACATAGCCCTCGTGGTTCTAATTATTGAAATCTTTTTTTTTTCACTGACTGATGGCTGAAGAGAGGAATTTAAGGTAGTGATTGTGAGGATGAAAAGAAGCCAACTTGCTTTATTTGTACTGTACTTTGTACAGAAGGATATATAGTAAAAATTTGCCTATTAATGAAGCATCCTGGATGAGGAAAAAAAAAAAAACTTATAAAATGAGACACCAATAAAGTGAATTGAATGTTTGCTGGAAATCTGTTTCGGATTGGCTGTGATATAGAGATTAAAACCATATCAGATATTTCGATCAAGGTTATACACACACCGATACATTTTACTAGGTTCAACAATACTTATTACAGTATTAATTATGTCACGTCAGCCAAACTTACCGCCATAATCACAACAACTTGGGTGCAAAGAAGAGTATAAATGTGTACTGATTGCTGTTTGTTATCTGTGTGCAATTGCTGTGGATCAGCTTTGTTTCTCTTTATTTATTTCCAAGTGAAATAATCTTGAGGTGTCTGGAGGTGGGTTGGGTAATCGTTACAATAGACAATGATGACAAGCTCGTATTGTTATTGAAGAGACATGTACTGTCTAAATGTATGAAGATACGGGATACATGGGATTAAGTGGAAGGCAGGTTAACATGACCAACACTAATCCTAAAGAAAGAAATTCTAAATTAATCTAACCCAGTTTTATGGTTCAACTTCCCCATGCCTTTGTCAAAAAAGCTAGGTTATTGGTAGAAAAATCCCCATTCCTTTACACCTATCTGATTCACAGTACTTGTGTCTATGAACAAATAACAAAACGATAAATACAAGAGTTTTTTTTCAAGCCACAATACTACTATGATAAAAGCGTAATCCATAGTCATAGTTTCACGAGGAGCCACAGGCTGACCACTTATTGGACTGTTCTGATGATAACACGAAACATCACCACCACTAAATGGCACTCTGTGGTCAAATCAATACACAATTTTGACTCTTAACTGACAGATCATCACTCTGGGTTTCACTGGATGCTTTGTGTAGTTTATTCTCTCTGATTTCAGAAATAGCACATGTAGATTTTTTTTAAATACATACCACTAATCATTACTACAAATGAGAGTCTTATGTCATAAACGTGTAAATATGATAAGAAAATGAGACTTTATAACTTTGTTTCCACTTTTTAACTAAGTATGGAATACTATAATATAAATAAAATAGTAAAACTGAAGCAGATCCATACATTTACACTAGACTATGGTTAAAAAGCATTAATCACACCAAACTAAATAAGCATCAGGTTAGATGTGAGGACACATGTTTGAAAATAGATGCAGTTTGAGACAGATAGAGATACAAAGATAAAACCTATTTTTGTAAAAAGCCCGCACACCTATATGACGAAATCGAACAAAAAATAGTTTCACAGGCTAAAAACAGAACAGTCAGGACCCAGAAGAGCCACATCAGCATCCTTTAAGTCGTCCATTTGCTGCTCAGTGAGCCAAGTCAACATTCAGCCTGCATTACAACACATTATACACTGACAGGGCATTGCACTCCGGCAGCCTAACACTAGGAGATTCAGTCATCCGTAAGAGAGTCCAAACCCCCCTGAAAAAGAAAAAAAACTGTATAAAACTGTTTCGACAAGCTGTGATTGTGCATCAAGCACTCTCCGTGAAAGTAAAACATTCTGGTTGATTGTATCCAAATAAATATTGACTAAAAAATATGCACAGGCATTCAGTTCTGCCTCCCACTGAGCTAGAGCAATCCATCTATGGAATCGTAATCTAAGTGTGGCCCTTTTTCACCATTTTCTACAGTATTGTGTTGTTTATTTCTCATTATGTCATTTTAATGGACTACTCATTGCTGTGCAAAATGATAATGGGTTTTGAAGAGAGTAATAGGAGACTTGATGTGAGGTAAATATCTGTGTCCAACTAATCTCTCTGTGCCAGTAAATAATAAGACTCAGCAGGAGAAAAGACTTTAGTATTGTGTCCTTGATACAGTTCTCATCCATGGCAGAAAGCAAACTCAAATCTGAGAGGTAAAAATGGTAACTGAAGAGAAAAAGTCATACTTTTATCATAGGTCTGTATTGACATCTTACAGTACTGTTTTCCTAATTACAAAAAGTTGGTCTAGTTAGGATGATCATGTTTGCTTAAAACCTTACTTTTGTATTTTGCAGTGGGTTGGAAAAACATTTATAGTATTTTTACAAAATGATATGCTGCAGCTCACAAACAGTTGGCTTTCATGGAAAATATTCTGGCCCAGAATTGAAACTGCTGTTTTGTAATTTATTTTTGTTAAACCTCTAATGCTTTGCCCAATGACAATTTAAAGAAGCTTGAAATTAGGTAAACATTTTCATAAAGCTTTACAGTACACAGTAACATACCACATTTTGTAAAACTATTTTTGCATTGCTACAGCAACATGTCGTCCAAAAAGTATATTGCTAGGTAAGGAAATCATCCATCTCCTAAAATGCTGGCTTGAACCCTCTGGACTTAAAGCTGAGAGTCATCATCAATTAATTAGAGCTGGGAATAAGAAATGGTTGTCAGCTGACTCAAAAGATTCCCTTAAAAGTGTTATCCAGATGTCATCAAAACTAGCTGAAGGGCTGTTTCATTATTAGGGATACTTTTTTTCAACTTTATCC